GATAATAATTTAATAAATAATAATAATAAAATATAAGAATAAAATAAATTAAATAAAAATGTTGACTAAGTTAAAAAGCTAATGATGTTAATAATGTTGATCATTCGTCAATCTTTGTGACGCAATAAGATTGACTTCACATGGTATCAATTTTCTCCTCTAAATTTGCAGCTCCTGCAAAAATTTCATAAGCTTCGTCAACCAAGTCCTTGAACTCAAATTCTGAATTTCTAAAAATTTGTAAAAAGAATTTGCAGAATGCATGCTGTATTCACGCGTGACCTATTAAAGGGAAGCATGCCATATTCATGCTATCCGCAATCGACTTTATAAACATAGGTTTTTCTAATATTATATAGGGCTAAAATTTGTTAACTTCCAGACTTATAAGACTCAAAATTCTATATAAATAGTTCGATTTTGAATGATTTTCTAATTGTGATCACATGATAAATTATTTTTTTTTTTTTTTTTTTTAAATATTAAAATTCTACACATGTTGATCTAATTATTTAAATTTAAAACTTCTCAATTAATCTCTTTTCTTGACAATTTTCAAATAAAATGCCTTCTAATAATCGCTCTCAAAATGATGTTCAAAAGAAAATTGAACGTATGAAAACTTTCCGTTCACAACAAAAAATAAAGTTCATAAACAGTTTGCGACCTTGCAAACTTAAGCACAGGAAGAAGAAAGAAAGAGATTGCTTATGGCTGATAGACTAGCATATCTGGTAGCTAATCAAAATACTCATGAAGAACTATTAAGACAAAGGTAAATACGTTAGAAGCTGAAAGTCTTCATCAAAAAGAGGTATTTTTAGAGCAATGGTTGTTTTATAAAGACTTGTGGGAAGGTCAGATGTTAATTTCAGTTGGGTGGTCTGGGTGGTGATTGGGATTTTTATTTTTACTTGGTCTTTTTCTTGGAATTTTTTTCTTCGCTGATGGTTCGTTGAGTTGGACTGGTAGTTATTGCTGAGTTGTATATGTTGTCGATCATTTATAAATAAAACTATATACTTAGTGGCTTGATTATATTGATTTGATCTTCATTTATGATATACTTAATCTTTTTCTATATCAAGAAAGTTCATTGAAATCTAATATTTAAGAAATCTACCACGAGAAATTTGTTAGACATAAATCTAAAATTAACTTTTGATCAACTGATTATGCCATTTAACTTTTCTTAATATATAAGCTACGTAAATATTGCAAGTAATTTTTTTTTAGGAAAACTAATATTTTCATATGTCTTAATTCTCATGCATGCATTTTGTTAAACTCTTAAAATTATGCAGCTTATAAAATTTCCTGAATTTGTACTAAATAAAGAAATGTTGATCAAAAATGTGCTGTGCAAATATTGCGTGATTATCCAATTTGATAATGTTGATCAACTACGCCAATTCTAAACAGGTTTTTATTTCATAGATTTTCATGTAATGATCATCATCCAATATGATCCAATGGATTTTTATTTATTTTTCTGCAAGAAAATAATTCTCAGTCTTGAAAATTTTAGAATTTTTTTCATAACCACTTTTTTCAAGTATAAATATTTATCTAAGAATTCTTTCTATTTTCCACAAAATTTTTCTTTTCTCCCAAAATTATTGTAAAATTTTTAAATTTTTTTTTTTTTTTTTTCTTTTCAATATATACATTTTTTCAACATGGGTAAAAGTTTTCGCAAGCAATTTTTTTCACGTCGCCAATATAACCTTCGAAATCAAGAAGAGACAAGACAACAAAGAATAGATGAACTTGATATTGAAAATCACAGACTTCGACAACTATTAAATTCCTCTTTGTTTCAAGTAGATAGTTTATCTAACGAAATTCATCATTTATCTTCCTATTTATCTCGTAATAGGCGTCAATATCGAGATCTTGAAGTAGAATATGAGAGCCTTCTATTTCAATAGAATTATGCAAGAGCTGATGTTAATCGCCTCCAAAGTTATAAAGATGTCCAATCAGTCTAAAATCTCCAGAATAATTTAGATCAAATCCAAAGAAACTTTAGAAGAATATTGGAGCAACTTCGTTAGAGAAATGAAGAATTTAATTTTTCTTATCATGTGCCTCTTAATGATTAATTTTCTACTAAATATCTTTTCAGGAAGAGATGTCGTTTGCATTTTGCCTGTCATAGAACTACATTTTGCTATTGCCTTTTGATCATTCTATAGACTACACTCTCTCTCTTTATCTTTTATAGCTAGTAATAGTTGTCATAGATAGTTTTTTACAAATGTATTTTCTTTTTCTCTTCTATATTGATATATTTTATTATCTTTCTATTTTCAATAAAATTTTACACATGGTTGCGTTTGCCTTTTAAATTGTCTAATATTATTTCAAGAGTTACTAATCACACTATTGATACTTTTGCTTTCACTCTTACAATCTTTTCTAATATCATGTGATTGTTATTAATCCAATAAAATTTTCTTTACATTCTTACTATAATTTGTCAAATATTATCATTTCACATGTTTAAAAATCTTTTCTTTAGATAAAATTTCTAAAGTTCAAAATTGTTGATAATTCTATAAAAATCATAATCTATTTCTTTCTAGAATCCTTTGGTAGAATATCTTACTATCTGAAGTATCCTAATACTTTCACATTATTTACAGACTATATGATAAACCTTTTTCCAATTCTTTAGCATAATGATTCTACTCCTCAGACTTTAAAACCTTAGGACATTTTTCCTCCTATTGGTATCTAGTATTTGCAATCATTTGCATATTTAAAAATCCTTTTTAATCTCTCTCATTTTTCTACGGGATGAGTGAAAAACCCAAAACTCTCACTTTTACTTAGGCTTAGTGGTAACCTTTTCTATAATACTTAAAAACTAAAATATTGTCTATTAATTATTAATCCAATAATAATAATAATAAAATAGTATTTCTTCAATTTTAATTATCTTAGCATCTAGTAATCCATTTAAAATAAAATATATATTATTGTGATACTCATAACTTGACGAACATGTTGATATTAATTTTACAAAATTTTGATTAATAGATCATGAGAATTCACATCAGAGACTTTTTTGTTTTAATTTATTATATTTGAAAACTAGTAACGCAGTATAATCGTATGACTTGATTTGGAATTTAAATTCTTTTTTCTTTTATTTTTCCATTGATATTCTACTTTTTTAGATACTTCATATTTATTAGCATGTATTACTTTTGAATATTCAAAACTATTTGCTACTATTTGATAGAATTGTAAGTAATTAAATATCAACATTTTTCTTAATGCTTCAAATTCTTTCATTGATTTAACTAAATTTTGATTTTCATTACTTAGAGAAGTTTCAATTGAATTATCATTTTCTTCTACTTTATTTGGAGATTCTTCTTCTCTTACATGATCTATCCAAGGATTAAATTCTAATTCAATTATAGGATTTACTTTACTCA